TACTCATGACCAGACTGTTCTTCATTACATGGAAAAAACTTGCAGATGGTTTTCTTCTATTAGAAACTGTTATTTTCATAAAACAGAAAGATAGTTTTTCTTTTCTCATCAGGTACTTTGCCACGACGTAGATCATTATGATATTCTCCTCCATCTAAAAATAAAGCATTGCCGATCATCGATGAAAAGACAGCTTACTCAGTGAAACATGCTCATCAAATAAAACAGCACAGAACGTATTCAAAAAAATCACCTAGATGCACATCCTCTGCAAAAGTCCTCGAAGAGGAGTAAGCGAAGCTCACACCTAATTCGTCGAAAGATCTGTTCCAGTACAACTCGATGAGATCTATCCAACGTTGTGCTCCGATTTTTTGTAGCTCAAGCTATTGTGCGAAATATTTTTTTGAAACCAGGGCTGCCAGCTGTGGGTATAACACATTGAAGCTTTCGCTATTTTTTGGCGTCAGTTTCAGCATGCCGTTCTTCAGAGTTGTCAATTTTTAATCAACACTGACGTTGAAGTCAGATGATAGCGTTCAACAATTTAGAGAACGGTGAAGAATGTGTCCTTTTCTTTCTAAGGTTGATGTTAGATTGTTTCGAATGCGTTCATCAGTTCAAAGAATCCATTTTCAGGTGTTTCTCTAGAGAATTTCAAAGAAAGTGATCTCATTTTAATGGAATCTTATCTTGACTGTTTCGAAAGACAATGAACAGATACTCATCCTATTGGCTTATGGAACGTTTCAGAACGCTTTCTATCTACATAGAACGATTTTTCAAACGAGAAGAAAGCATTCTATAATTGTGTGGAACAGCAAAGAATGCATTCATTTAGGCTCAGAACGTTTCTTTTTGTTTATAAATGCGTTCGTTTAAGGGTGTGGGTGTGAATGTGGCTAAGCGTCTGAATAAAGCGAAGGCAACCTCCACACCCACATCGACACCAGCAACGACACCCAAATGAAAACCCTCAATCACGACAAAAAATATCAGGAAAAATATTGTTAAGTGATTATCTTCACCTTAAATATTCATAAAATCTAGATATATTGATGTATCACAAACGCAACCCATATGACAATTTTGTATCAGCATCATTTTATTAATAAGTTCGCCGACTATAGAAGGTTTTCTGACTTTTCTTGGAGGCTCTTAGAGATAGCGCGCATTTGTTCAGATACTGATTAGTTTTTGGACCGACCGTCATGATAATGTTTGGCGAAATCCCTAGATCGGCATATAAGCTTCCATGACGTAACTTTCTAAATATAAATTGGAGCTTTATTTTATACTACAGTTATTCATTACCGTTCGTATCGATAATCATGTTGCGTCTTTGATAGTTACGATTGACTGTGTTGCTTACGAGAGCTCGTACATTTTCTGTTCTTATAATACACAAATAGTCACCTCTCGTATTGCTAAAAGAATGCTTATAACGTCCAGTATCGATATTACAATTCAAATAGTCATTTAGTCACTGTTTACTTTAATCAAAACAATATCAATAATATCAATTTTATCAAAGGTGTAACCTTGATTAAATGAATTTATAGAAGCTGTAACTTTTATTCGGTATATTGAAATTTATGTGTGTACTATTTTAGAATTTCGGTAGTACTGAACAACAAATGGTTTGTTCAAAAAAGGCATCATCAAACAAGGGAAGAGAGTAGCAAGATAGGTGTCAGACTACAGCCCTGGTCTACCATCATCGAAGATCTGATAGTGCTGACACTGGTAGTTAGCTGGAGAATAGAGAATATAAAAATATGACATCATATTTGACAATTTATAAAATAATGGGCGGCTTTATCTCAGAACTACTTGGTTTCAATGACACCGTTCAACTTTTTAATATCGGTATGAGCAACACGGTTTACGCAAGTCGAGAAGCTGGCTTGGCACTACTTAATCGTTTGAACGAGATTCTAGTCGACAATCGACATCAGTTTGTTAACCACATCCGCCAGGCCATGTCGGAACTATTGTCTCAAGCGGGCGATAAGACTAAACAAGACGCGCTTGACCTGATTGAAAGATTTACTTATAATTTGTCAATTGCCGCTGATCTAGCTATAAACCATGCTAAAAATGCCACAACCGATGTGTTCGATGAGAGTTTGAAGAAGATCAGACATGAGGCTGATGCATTCATTGAAAATATCATCACCAACCGATTATTTGTAATAGTGGCTATTTTCGTACTTCTCATTCTATTTTTGGCAGCTGCTTATTTATTTCGTCATCACTCCACGAAATATGCCGGTTGTGGTGTTCTACATGAGACTCTGTCATACGTATCAATAACTATCGCAGTTTTACTTTTTTATTTGGGGTATGGCTTGGCGCTATGGTGGTCTTTCATGGGAGCTCTAAATGGCAAGAATCCATTTTACATTATTATACTTATTATCCTACTTGTGAGCATTCTGTACGCTATCATTCACTTATGTTTGGCTTCAGAGAAAATACGAAGGAGATGGACATGGTTAAGTAACAAAATCAGCAATCTTTGCAATCTTGCAAACTACCAGCGTGAAGATATAATCCCATTGGCCAATCAATAACTCAAAGTAATGTTAAGTTCCATATCTTTTACAACTGGAATGTAAACAATTTAATTTCCAGTATACACACTTTATTCTAATTCGAGCACGTCATGCTTACCTCCTAAGTCTTCCTTTTCTAAGTTGTCATCTTTACATCGCAGTATGCGGCGTTTACGCAATCGTATGTCAAAATCTAGAAAATAAAGTACAATAATACTAATGTCGTATTTTTCTTTAAAATGTCAGCCACCATATTTTGAATAACTCCTCACTCATGATACATATTGAGTTCAGGTTTCAGCAATTCGATAGAACGATGCGAGGAGCATCTGGCTATTTATAAGCAATTGAGATTGGAAAAATTTTCTATGTATCTTTGCAGACGAATATCTTTTTTCGATACATAACTCATATAGCCCATAGCAACATAGGCCCAAATTATACCAGAATGTAGCCAGACTCTTCTTCTATGTACCATCAAATCTTCAAATCATTTGACCTTTTCCTTAAAGAGCTACAGATTTTGTAATATATCGAGTGACATCATTTTTCACATGATGAATGAACGTAAATTACGCATGAAAAGGGGTGTGGGTGTGGGTGTGGGTGTGCGGGTGGGATGTGATTGAAGAAATGAACAACACTCACACCTACCCACACACCCTTATTATGTATATCATAATGCAATTCTTGGATTATTATCGATATTAAGAATTTGAATCATCTCGATGATTTTCAAGTAAAAGAAAATATGATGTATAAGCATGAATTTTAGTCAGTCATTTAAAGTTATGATCGATTAAACATATACATATAATTCATTATATATTTTTGTTTTTTTCCGAGTAATAAACGAGAAATATAGAAAGCATAACTTGAGGGTGTGGGTGTGGGGTGTGGGTGTGTGTGGGGTGGAGTGTGTGTGAGTGTGGGTTTGAATTTAAAGTTCAACAATACCCACAAAACACACCCACACCCTCACCGTCTAGTTTTGAATGTCACGTGTCGTTCAAGCCGTTTTCCAACGTTTTTGTGAACGAACGTATACAAAGAAATCGAAATCAAGTTGGACAAATCAAAAAAAAAATATCCAATGAAAACATTTTGATTAAAACGAAACAAGAACATTTGGATGATGTCTTGAATCTTAGTGGTAATCAGAAGAGACTCCGCTCCGTTTGTTATCGGTATATCACCGCATTTGATACAACTGGTAGGAATGATCTTGATTATGAACATTGACAAAAAACTAAATATTTTATTGTCTTTCATCAATGACTTTTCCATATTTTTTTTTTCATATAATAAATTTTGTCTTCATCCTGTAATGCAGTCATTTTTGCCTCTCCCCGCTGTTTCTTCTTTGCGGTGAAGGTAACCTTATGATTCATTCCTATATAGAAAGAAGAAAAATAAATACAATAGACATTGCACAATATCAAAGAAATGTTTATGATGCAAGAAAAAGTAAATTGAAGAAAATGTCTGTTGAAAGTGATATATTTTCAAATAAATCATATCTTAAAGAAATAAATAAAAATTTTTGCTATTTAATTGAATTAATTCAATCAACGTGTAAACCATTAGTATTATCTTCAAAAGAATCATTAGCAATAAAAGATATATCATTTGAATATTTACAAGAATTTAATGGATCAAATCAACAACGACAAATTGATTTATTATCAATGATTAATGATTTAAACAAATTATGGTTATTTTTATCATTTAATCCAATATCTTATGATTCTCAAAACTTTATCGAAGAACTTTATCAATTAACATTGAATTCATTTCGAGTTAAACAACATTTAGGTTATTTAATATATGAAAATTTTCTATTTGAAGAAAAAGATTTTTTTTTTGTTGTCTTGTTTATTTAGCATATCATTGTGAAGATTTTCTATTAATATTGTCGGTTTGTTATGATGATGATCTTCGATTTGGCTCTTTAAAAATATTAAGTTTATTGATAAATGATATTCAACCAGTTAATAAAGAAAGACTTTTATATTTAAATCGAATATGTTATGAATGTCTTTATGATTTTTATATTTATTATGAAAAAATTAAACTTTTTACTATCGAATCAATTATAATTGATTTGACAAAAGACGATATTGATCATTTAATTAATCAACAAGTTATTCGAAAAAGTTTAGAAGAAAAAATCGTCGCATCAATAGAAGACTTAGGAGGATATGTTTTCATTAAAATGCAACGAAGTCCAAAAGATGCTTATCAAAGTAAATGATTATTCCTTATTTTTTTTTTATTCAAAAACTGAATATGTTTATTTTGATAAAGTAAAGATCTTTGTAAAGAAATCAATGGTGAATGGTCTCGTTATTGGAATTTAAAATTAGATGAAGATCCACGTTTATATTTTCTGAGAGTTGAAAATATCGAACAATTAAAATTGCTATTCAAAACAAGTGATCGTCTTCGAGAAGATTTTCAACAAATACATTCGAATGGAAAATTAATAGTACGTCGATGGATTAATTCAATTGGAAATGAATATCGATGTTTTATTTGTAATCAAAAATTAAATGCTGTTTCATCATATCAAGTTAATCAACAAATAATTAATAACGAAAAACAAATAAAAGAATTAATTAATTCAAATATATTTAAAGATATTATTTTTAAAATTCCATATAGTCATGCTGTTGTTGATTGTTATATTGATCTAATTAATTCTAAAGTAACTATTATAGAAATTAATCCATTTGGTAAACGATCATCAGCTGCTAACTTTTCTTGGATTATTGACAAATATATTTTATATTATTATTATGAAAATAATCAATCTGTCTTTATTAAATTCTAAATTAACATTTTTTTTTAAAATTTTGTTAATTATTTTTATCTTAAAAGAATTATTAATCAAGATTTTATAGCAAATAATAATTATCAACAATAACTAATATTATTTTCATTTTGTCTATTGTTTTTAAAATAGAAAAAATTTTTTTTTCTTCTTATATAAAGATAATCTTCATAAATATTAATAAGAAATCTATTTTTAAGATATGTTAAATCATTAAAAAAAACTCGTCGGACATTTTAAATTGACTTTTGAAATATATATTTGATATAAAAATATCTATTTGATAACATAAATATAGAAAAGTTTGATCAAACGAATTCAAAATAAACTTAATCTATTTACTTGTTTTATCTATATCGATAAGCTAAGCTTTTCATTAATTATTTTCAAATAAATTTTTGACTTTATTAAATAGACAACAACTATTTATCACCATAGACAAAATATTCATTGAACAATCAATTCATTTCTACCTTAGAAATATTATTTATTATATTCATCTATTAGATTTATTTATAAAACATTATTGATCACTTATTCTCATATAATAGCTCCTCAACAGATGATAATCATCATAATAAAAACCCATTTAACTATGAAATTTCCAAAGAACATCAATGATTTGACATATTTATCTTAAGATGAATAACCAAAAGAATTTTTTTTTAAATGTAACATTTCAATTTGACAATATTCTCGAAGATATAATATTATATTTTGATCTGTTTATTTAACTTGTTAATGATAGGTTGTTATGATGCCTTCTTAAGTTGTTAATCTACATAGAAAATGAAACATTCTAATGGAGAGAAAAAAAAGCATTCAACTTCGATAATCTTCATATATAAGATATTCGATATTTGTCTTAATCTATTGTTTGTTAAAAAAAATAATGATCGTGGTCATTTTCGCAATAACTCAAGAAAGGAAAGAGCTAGAGAGCTGCGGTTTTCACCAGTCGACAGAGACGACACTAGGCCATCTTTTTCTCCAATATTGTATAAGACGAAATCATGTTAAAATCAATCATTTCTGGAAAATATTGCAAAAAGTCCATGAAAATGGTCTGCCGCTCTGATGAAAGTTTGGCTTTGATATGTGATTTGGATAGAGCGATCTCAGATCTATAGTTTAAGATATAATTTCAATGATCATCTTCACGCATTCTAATGTTAAGCAAATCAAATTCTTTATTCACTCCCTTGAAAAGTATGAATTTCTCTTAATTTTTAAGCAAATTTTCTTACTTTTTGTGAAAATTTTATCTCAACAAAAGTTAATTTTTGTGTCTTTTTTCGATGTTTTGTAAAAACGTTTGATTTTAAAATGATTTCGTCTTCTACAATATTGAAGAAAAAGATGCCCTAGTGTCGTCTCTGTCGACTGGTGAAAACCGCAGCTCTCTAGCTCTTTCCTTTCTTGAGTTATTGCAAAAATGGCCACGACCATTATTTTTTTAACAGACAATAGTTGACAGATATTATAAATTGAAACCATTTTAATTTTTTTCTTTTATAGATCGTTTTATTATTTGATAGTTAAATAAATAGTTTGTTTTTAAAATATGCTAATTCAACATAAATAATAATACAATAATGAGTATAACAAGAAATAAATTCTTTTTCAATATAATATGTTCTTATATAAATATGATCTATGACAGAATTAGATGTTGACATTACTTTATTTCGGTATTGTTTATTGATAAAACACCTGTTTTATTTTTAATAATAAAAAATGATTATTTTTTCTAATGAAGATCATTGTCAATGAATTCTTTGATAAATGTCTAATTCGTATTATTCGATGATTATCGAATCGATATGAAAAGTTTTTTCTAATCACGTTCAATTAAGTTAACATCTTTTAGATTTAAAAAATCTTAATTAAATTATTCAAATAAAATCCTCATTAAAATTTTCTCAAAGAATATTCTTATATCTATCAATATTTATCTGATAATCACATCTTATCATGTCAATATCATTTATTGATCAGTTATTTTAATATGAATTCATTTTAATTTAGTATTCATTTTTTGTAACAGTTCACTTCAATAATATATATATATGGCGAGGATAATCTATCATCAAAATCAATACATTATTATCATAGAATGCATATTTACTAATCATTATTAATTGAAAGAAAAAATTTCTTTTTCTCGTTATAAGTCGCTCTGTTAAAATCTGTTTAGAAATTTTGACAAGTTAATAATTCGAATTAAAATAGTTTATTCAATTCAAATGATGATGATGATGATAATATCTCATCAGAGAACAACCAATTTATATGAGCGTTTTTATCGAATATGTTATTGGAAATGTTAGTTTCTTTTCACAGGATCAAAAGAGATAGAGATATCGAAAACTAATCTTACTGAAGAATAATAAACAAATCAACAAAGGTAAATGTTCAATATGAATTTCGATATCATCTTGTCATGACAGATAATATCTATTAAAATAGGATAATAGTTAAGTTCGTTCTGATAATAAAACATAGTTAATATAAAGTTAATCGATTAGTGAAATACTTCATATCAATCGAATAGTTTTTCTAATAATTAACAACAAATAATTAATGATCTCTTCGACAGATTTTTAATTTCTATCGGACATTGTTTGTTTTGTATTTCTATATAGAATTATTTAAATTATTTTCAAAACTAACGAACTTGCTTTTTTTTTTAAATTTACTTAATTAAATGAATATGTTTATTGATATTCTTTAACATCTATTAACTAAATGATAAGAAAATCAATATGGAAAATAGTTATTTGTTGTCTTTAATTGATATTATATTGAAAATGTTTTTTGTTTTTGTTTTGTCATTGTTTTAATTAGTCAATAAAATAAATCTTGAATTGTTGAGAATAATTTTTTGAAAATAAAATAGTCGATGCATTATTTAGTTAAAAATAAATTGCTCTTCGACTATTTTTTAAAATTTAATAAAAATAGTTAAATGTAAATAAATAAAAACCGATGTAAAAATATTTTCTTAAATAATACTCTCTCTCTCTATATATATATATATTCTCTTTTATTATTGAATGATATTGAAAATAATAATTAAGAATGATATTTGTTTTCTTTTGATTATCTTTTAGGAAGGTCGATGTTTACGGAGACTGATTTTTATGAATAATTTCTTGGAAAATGATTATTATTTTGACACACATCTATAGAATAATCATATAGGATGACTAAACTTACATTATTATATCATTCGATTCATCGACTGGAATCGAAAATAAAACTGAACATTGGTTTTCTGATTGTAATTCTATTCAACTTTCGAATTAGATATTACAAAAAAAAAACAACCAAAAAACAATTGTAAAATGTTAAATAATATGAAAAGAAAATGAAGATATGTTTATTTATTCATAATATATTAATTAAGATTGTTTTATTTTATGTATAATAAATAATTTGTCATTATTGATTGATAAATGATCTTTATTTGAAAAGAAAAAAAAAAAAAGTTAGTTAGTTTGGAGATAATAATCCACCGAGACTTGATTATTTACTGTTGAAATAAAGATAATAAGTTAAATCAAATAACTGTTGAACTTGGATCATTAGGTACAAATGCATGTTGATCATCATCATGATGTATTATAAAACTAGTTGGTTGATCTTGATCTTGATCTTGAATTTGATTATGATTATGATTAATAATTGGTTTTGTTCTATAAATAAATGTTTGATGATTATTAGTCGATCGTTTTCTATATAACCATGGTGACCATTTTGTTCTTCTAATATAATCACGAAAATTTTGTGTTAATATTAAATAAATTAATGGATTTAATAAACCATTTGCATAAACAAAAACAAGTGTTAAAAAATTTAATATTTGTATATAAGGTGTTGGTCCTCGTTGATTAAATGTATCATAAAGTTGAAGAATCCATAATGGTGACCAAAAAAGAAAAAATGATATTATTATTAATAAAACAAGTGTTGTTGCACGTTTTTTATAATTATTTAATGAATTATTTGATAATGAAAGACGTCGAGATCTTAATGACCAACGATGAAGAAATAATATTAAACGAAATGAAAATGTACATGTTATTAATGATGGAAGTAAATATGCACAAGCAAATTTTATTTGTACATAACGAGATAATTCACCTGCTGTCCAACGTGATTTACATTCACTAACACCTGATGCTAATGCTGCTCGAGTTCGATTATGAACAAATAATGATGATGACATTGGTAATGGAAATAATATTGCAAATAACCATAATAAAATAATAAAAGCTAATACAAATACTAATTTAACTTGATCATTATAACGACGAGATGTTTCACGTACATCCATATAACGTTCAACACTTAATGCTGTTATTGTATAAACACCAACCTACATTATTTACATATTATATTTAACAATTAAACATATTTATATTTATCTATCAACTAATACTCAACATTTCTATACAATTATTATTCTTTCAATTTGTAACACATTGACAAATATTTAAATAAGTTAACTAATGAAATTGATTAGAAATTTGACAGTTATTCATATTAAAAAAAGTAAATAATTAAAAATGTAGGGAACATTAAAATTCATTTGATTATATTTTATATTCGATTTATTTATTGTTAAGGAAATTTTTCATATTTAATTTAATTAAAAATTTCATCTTAATAAAACTATATTGACAAATCTTATTTTAATATTATTATTTTATTTAGGTTTATTAACTGAATATTATTAAAATAAATTTGAATTATTTTATTCAACAATAGAAATATCGTTTTAATCTTTATCAAATATCTTAACAAATTAAAAATTAATCATTATCTATTATATATTAAACAATGATCAGATAATATTATCTTTATTCATATAATATATATTATGTATTATTATCAACTAGATTTTATTTATATTAAATCATTCATTTATTAAGATTAGTTATATAAATCTTTTCCTCTAATGAATGTTAACAAATTTAATATTTTTGTTATTCAAC